AGGGGGTGTATTGTGATTTAGGTATCTGAAACTGTGCATAGGACTCGGACATCGGTAAGGTAAGACTAACGTACAATTACAAATGTTTACTTTTATCCTTGACAAAGATAAGTCCATATATCAAAAGCACTAGGGGGTGTATTGTGATTTAGGTATCATACTTCTGTATTGAGGAGAGGTTTGAATGTTTATTTACAGCACATTTATCATAGCTTGACCGAGCATAGATATGTTATATATATCTGTATTGAGACGAGACCTACAAGTTTATTTAGACATATACCTCCTTTAGGAATTTCTTACTTTCAACCAGCATTTCAAAAAATTCTCTTTTTAGTTAATTATTGACAATAAAACTGAAACTTATAATTCTTCGATTAACTGTAACTCTTTAAATATCCCTAGATTTTGTATAACCGAGCTATGGTTCAGTTAGGACTATGTGCTTTCCGACACGGAAATATCAGAGATGCCCATAATGCTCTCCTCGATATTCAGAGTGGCGGACGTGCCAAGGAACTTCTTGCTCAGGTAATCTCGTGTATTTTAAATGTGTATCAACATTTTGTATTATATATATATATATTAGGTTCGATATTTGATGAATTGTTTACTTCTGTCTTGTTTATGAGATTCTGAAAGTTTCAAATCTTTTGTTTTTATTTAAAAAAGTTGTTAAACCGTAATATAAAGTTTTTTTGTTATTTACCAACTAATCTTAAGTTTAGCAATTTCGAATATAAAAAAAAAGTTTTTAATAAGTGTAAACGTGACAGATTTTGTTATTTATGGGAAGGATTTAACCCATTAACTGTGGTAGGAGGAGCTCAGTTGCCATTTTCTGACTCACAGATAAAAACTGAGTTGCCATCAATCACGATAAAATGGTAATTTTCGTCAATCGCATAGAGTTATAGTTATATATGTGCAAATGACGGATATTTCTGTCATTCGCAGCTAAGCCATAGAACTTCAGTGACGGAAATATCCGTCATCCGCAGTTAATGAGTTAAGAGCCTGGTGTCTAGCTACATTAATTAGGAGCCTGGTGTCTAGCTTCATTAATTAGGCTAGACACCAGGCTCCTAATTAATGAAGCTAGACACCAGGCTATTCATTAATTAGGAGCCTGGTGTCTAGCTACATTAATTAAGAGCCTGGTGTCCAACTACATTAATTAAGAGCCTGGTGTCCAGCTACATTAATTAAGAGCCTGGTGTCCAGCTACATTAATTAAGAGCCTGGAGTCTATATTAATTAAGAGCCTGGTGTCTAGCTATATTAATTAAGGGCCTGGTGTCCAGCTACATTAATTAAGAGCCTGGTATCTAGCTACATTAATTAAGGGCCTGGTGTCTAGCTACATTAATTAAGGGCCTGGTGTCTAGCTACATTAATTAAGAGCCTGGTGTCTAGCTACATTAATTAAGAGCCTGGTGTCCAGCTACTATTAATTAAGAGCCTGGTGTCTAGCTACATTAATTAAGAGCCTGGTGTCTAGCTACATTAATTAGGAGGCTGGTGTCTAGGTACATTAATTAGGAGCGTGGTGTCTAGCTATATTAATTAAGGGCTTGGTGTCTAGCTACATTAATTAAGAGCCTGGTGTCTAGCTACATTAATTAAGAGCCTGGTGTCTAGCTGCATTAATTAAGAGCATGGTGTCTAGCTACATTAATTAAGAGCTTGGTGTCTAGCTACATTAATTAAGAGCCTGGTGTCTTGCTATATTACTTAAGAGCCTGGTGTCTAGCTACATTAATTAAGAGCCCGGTGTCTAGCTACATTAATTAAGAGCCCGGTGTCTAACTACATTAATTAAGGGCTTCCTTATCCAGTGTAATGCAGTTAACGAAGCTCAAATTAGAAGATGGTATAGTTTCTTAAAAACCAAAATTTATGTTTTACTGACATTTTTTTTTATTCAACCTCAACTACTGAGAATTTTTGTGTAAACTTGGTAACCGGTGTATTTTCATTCTTCATATAAACAGGGCCTACTTCCTCAGCGCCAGCACGAACGAACAGCGGAGCAGGAGAAGATCGAAAAAAGACGGCAGATGCCGTTCCACAAACACATAAATTTGGAACTTTTGGAGTGCGTGTATCTTGTGTCAGCCATGTTGTTGGAGATTCCGTACATGGCTGGTGAGGTTTGATCCCCAGAACTTTAGGGGTTTTATGTATATTGAAAATTAAATATACATTTTAGGATTAGGTCTATTACAGACCTATATTACAACCAAGCCGGATAAACGTTTTGAAATCTGACTGTGTCGATAGACATCGGGGAAATTTTGTTTCAGATCATTGTTATGTAGATAGAAAGATTTATATTTCATTATAGTTTGGTGTATAAAACTTTCTGTAACAGACTTCCGTAGATCAAGGTAAGTAATTACAGGAGAAATGTTTCGTCACTAAGATGAATACGATAACCAGGTTATTAAGTATTCTTATATTGGACAGTGGTCTGTATTAGACAGTGAAGTCACAAAGCCATATGATGTAGTAGTTATTATACCACCAAAATATATATTTTTTGTTACTATCATTATTCTGTGTATCACAAACGGAATGTTTCGGTTGATTTCAAACTGTGTGAAAAACATCAGATAGCCTGTTAAATGTCTAATTATCGACAGGTGGTTTTGTTTTTGCTTGTATGTATATATCTAGTTTCAAGTGTTGGTGTTATGTCTTTCAGCACACGAACTAGATGGTCGAAAACGTATGATCAGTAAATCTTTTCATCACCAGTTACGGAACAGTGAACGGCAACCTCTCGTTGGTAAGTGTTGAATTGTTTAACATTTAATTGTACCTTCCATTATAGGTAGCAGCTGCCATCTACCTTCACTCTTTCTTAATATCACAGTTTATTGATTTTCTGGCCTTAAAACTTCTGTTTAGATTGTAGAAATTTTTTAAAGCTCAGTAAATCTTTTTTTTTTATATATATCTCAAAATGTAGTGCTATTAACAGAATGATACTTTGTAACAGGTTTTTAATTTTGACAGAAATGTTAATTTTAGTTGTTGTTTTTTTTGCCCCTAATACAACTCGGATATGTGTTATTTAAAGACTGTACTAAATATATTGTTTTAATGATTCTAAAGTTTAATTGTAATTTTTATACTATGCCTTAAAGGTCCACCTGAAAGCATGAGAGAGCATGTTGTTGCTGCTTCAAAAGCCATGAGGGTTGGAAACTGGAAACAGTGCAAGAATTATATTATCAATGAGAAAATGAATGCCAAGGTAAAAAAATATGTAAAACAAGTTTGTGTGAAATATAAACAGTTATGATATAATAATGAAACTGTTCTTACATGAGAGCATCAGATCATCCGTGACAATACCACATGATACCATGTCATCCATGACAATACCACATGATACCATGTCATCCATGACAATACTACATGATACTGGATTACCCATGACGATACCACACGATACCGGATCACCCATGACGATACCACACGATACCGGATCATCCATGACAATACCACACAATATCGTATCACCCATGACAATACCACATACCAAATCATTCATGACAGTACCACATGATACCGGATCACCCATGACAATACCACACAATATCGTATCACCCATGACAATACCACACGATATCGTATCACCCATGACAATACCACATACCAGATCATTCATGACAGTACTACACGATTTCAGATTATCTGTAACAATACCACATTTATCATTCATTTTATTCAATTATGTGTGAACAGGTTAAAAGTTTAAATACTTGGTTGAATAATACACTTACTAGTCAGTTACCTAGGACTGTTTAAATACTCGGTATTGAATAATACACTTACCAGTCAGTTACCTAGGACTGTTTAAATACTCGGTATTGAATAATATACTTACTCGTCAGTTATCTAGGACTGTTGAATAATACACTTACCAGTCCGTTGCCTAGGACTGTTAAATACTCGGTATTGAATAATACACTTACTAGTCAGTTATCTAGGACTGTTGAATGACACACTTACCAGTCAGTTGCCTAGGACTGTTTAAATACTCGGTATTGAATAATACACTTACTAGTCAGTTACCCAGGACTGTTTAAAAAGAATAGTAATAATAATAGTTTTTGATTTAATTTATTTAATGACATGGAGAGTTATAGATGGTTGTTTAGCAAGGCAGACGGTTTACTTGGTGTTGAATCATGTTTGTTTAACAAAAGCAACAACAACAAAAAGTCTAACAATTACTCCAAAATGTATACGATCTGTAGGTTTGGGACCTGTTCCATAAAGCAGACAAGGTACGAGAAATGATCTGCCAGAAGATTCAGGAGGAATCACTCCGGTCATATTTGTTCACGTACAGTAACGTGTATGATTCCATCTCCATGAATATTCTGTCCGAAATGTTTGAACTTGAAAAATCAATCGTGCACAGCATCATCAGCAAAATGATCATCAACGAGGAACTTATGGTACGTCATCCTTCCTTGAAACTTTCGTGTTTGTTTATTTAGATTGGTTCAGTATCATAGTTTGCTATATTAAAGTAGTGTTTTCACAAATTATAACTTGTTGGTTAAGTTCATGGGAATGTGGGATAAGTTCTGCTTCCCAAAAAGAGTAGGAGAGAGTGTGAACGTAGAGGACACTCTGAGCATTCCAGTAGACTCGAAGCCGGTGAAAATGATTGAACTTGAACTCTTTTTTTCATATTCATACTGAAGATTATGTACTGAAGTCATTATCTGTTAACCCTCGCGCTATGAGCAGGTTAAATGCACATGTCACGACTTTTTAGAGTTGCATTCAAAATTTAATCAAGCTGTTTTATTATCATGGTGTACAAATAAACATGGCTAATAAATCAAATTTTAATATTATATAACTTTTAAGCTCTTAACTTTACAAGGAAATTTATTTTGCATATTTTATAGTCGTTACGAGGTTGGTGAAATAGACAGACCGCGTGTAGAATTAGGGTAGAGAAAATAACAGATGAATATGAAGTTTTACCGAAGAAAAAAAACGTTTGAAATTTGTTTAGGAGGTTTTAGAGATTATGTAAATGAAATTTGACAATTTTCAGATGAAAAAAGTATTTTTAATCTTAACATGAAAATGACTTTGCACTTAGAGCAGTCAACACTTTGATTCCATGTATTCACAGAGAAATTTTTAGTTCAAAAGCTTCATTAAAAATTCTAACGTTTTCTGTTCACAAAAGACTTAATGCTTACTGAAAGCTTACAAAATATCATGAAAACACACAGAACATATAAAAAGTTATAATATTAAAACTATAAAGGTCAGTTTAGGGTCACAAGCTCGGCCGATTTAACCAAAGTACCATGGAGTCTTTTTTTTTTGTGTAAATAATGTCTATAGAAAACAAATCCTGTTTTAGTTTGTAAAATTATGCATAAATATTTTGAGAAGGGAATTTGTTGCATTATAGTTATTTGCCATCTCTGCGAGTGTTTAATACAAAAACTACAAACATTTAACCCTTCTTTTACGTACTTATCATTTGGTGCTATCGTTCCTTTCCCTTGTCGGCTAAATTATTATGGATGGTTCACTTTATGAACAGAAATTGGTTCTTTCAAGACAGTTAATTAATAGCATGTGTGCCTAGTTTTAAGTAATAGATAGTAATACCAGGTTAGCATTAACAAAACGTTATTTTACAAGTTGTACATGGTTTTAATTTTTCCAGTTTTTAGTTGATTAAAGTTTTTGAAAATGTTGACTGTTTAATATTTTGATGATATCAACTAATGCATCTTTAAGTAAGTTTTTGAAAATGTTGACTGTTTAATATTTTGATGATATCAACTAATGCATCTACTTAAAGACATGTAAAAAAGAAACCGTGAATGTTAATCGCTTGTTTCTTGTAATAATTTTCTGTCAGTTCATTACGGCTGACTTGGAATAATGATGTCGTAACTATCTTAACTTTTTTTTTAAATTATCTTTATCAAATTATTGTATACAGCTGATTGTAACGGTTTGTTTTCATTACATAATACATTGAAGTGGTTGGAGTTGTAAGTAATATTAAGTGAGAATGAAAAACCTTGCTAATTCAAGAACTCTTCGTGCTAGAAAACATAGATTTGTACACGTATCCAGGTGATATTCACTGGCTGTATCATGTTACGCTTTTCATTAACGGGTAATATGGAGTCCAGTATAACTAATACATGGTTTTTGTATTACAATTTGTTAGCCAGAAGACTTGACACCTATCTCTACAATCCCAAAAACAAACGAATATAAAGCATTGATACCGTGATCACATGTACTCGTTTGTTTTCTTAAATATGGTTTTTCAGCAGAATAATATTTCGACATAGTTCCGTAAAATAATGCCTCACCGAGATGACTGAATTTGGCCATGAAGTACTTTTGATACCCTTCTGAAATTGGACCCAGCGAGCTTTAAGTTCGACAGAGGATATGCAGTACTGACGGCAGATACTTTTTGAAGTAATCTGACTGAGAACCAAAATTTGCAGAAAGAGCACATTTTTTTGAAAGACACATTTGTAAATTACATATGATTGCCAATTGTTTATTGCAACTTAAAACTTAACCAGTTAACTGCTTACGTATTTTCTAGTTGTTTTTTCATTCTATGTCTTATCATTCAGGGTTAAAAGAAAGTATAATTTGCAGGCATCCTTGGATGAGCCAACTCAGACAGTCGTCATGCACCGTACAGAGCCCTCTCGTATACAGGCTCTTTCTCTTCAGCTTGCTGATAAGATTACTAACCTTGTGGAACAAAACGAACGGTTCTGGGAAACTAAACAAGGATCTTTCTTTGGAAGAAACATAGGTATGTGATTTTGCTAAAACACAAGTGACATCCCTGAGCTTGGATAAGCAGGTTAAGTGAATTGGTGAATCTAAGAAGCATTGTTAAATAACAAATGTAGCTACAATATAGTAGAAGATCTTAAAAAAAAAAGTGATTACATTTGGCGACTTTAACCTTTACTTGTTTTTGTATTGTGTAGTATTATCACAACATGAAGCAACTTATAATGGATATATCATTTGATAAGGTTGAAATTTTCATGTGCTCTGTTTATCCATAGGTCAACAAGGATATCGTGATTCGGGGTATCAGAAGACTGGATATTCTCAACAGGACAGGAATTGGGGTAAGTAGTAGGCTTTGCCACAACTTTTCGGGTATCAAGCATTGTACCTTCTTCTTCTTCTTTATTTCTTTCTTTTTTTTTTAAAACCAAATAACATTTTCTTGAGCCAAACATGGCCTAGTGGTTAGCATTCCAGACTCTAAACCCGAGGGTCCACGTTTGCATTTCGTTGCTGCAAAATCGTGCTCTGCATTCTGTGCGTACGAGTTGCTCTAAATTAGGCCAAAAGGTGGCAGCGGGCACTGTGGACTAACTTCCTCATCTAGTCTATCAGTTCGAAATTAGGGACAGCTACCACAGATAGTCCTTGTGTAACACAAATATCCAAAACAAAACAACCAAGCTAAATTTGTCAGAAATCATCATGAGGCAAAAGCATTTATGAGTAAAATATTTTATTATAGATGTACATTGAAACACTAGGAGCTAAACCTTCAAGAAAACCACCAGTTGTTACGTGTTTTTTCATTAGATAAGATAAAATCCTTTTTTTTCTAGGTTATCTGGTCTTTACGATCAACTAAGTACTCTCAGGAAAGTACTGCGTAAATTTGAAAACGTGACATTTGAAGCAAGTTAAGAGAAATACCAAACTCTACCAAAAGTCTATTTCTAAACAGATGTTTGTTGTAACAAAACTGTAGAATTGAGGATTTAATTTCATTTGTTTTTTTACAGCCTTTAAGGAATACATTGGAATGTATTTTATTAAGATGCTCAGTTTAAACTGTTAAAAGTTTCTACTCGAGCTGACAAAAACAAAGTTTGCATTAATCATGAAAAGTTCTGACCATGATGAGTAGCAATTTGTTTAGAAAAAAAAAAAGATTACAGTATATCAGAGTAAGGACACATGTATTGAAATAGATCTTTAGACATGTTTAACATACAGATTATAGAAGGAAGTATAGGTTCTGATCTATAATAGAATAGATAAGACACACATGTTGACAGGAAACTTTAGGCAAGTTTAGAAGAACAGGAACAAACTATGGAAGGAAGTGAGGGTTATGATTCACAGTGAATCTTTGCCAGTGTCAGTTTAATACAGTTGGATTTGGATATCTTGCAAATTTATCTAAATCTGTCCAGCAACAGCTGTTTCTAATGAAAAGTGAAGTTTTTAGTGGACTCATGGCAACAATCAGAAGGTTTTGAGTCAGACTGTCTATATAAGGAGACTTGAGCATTTAAACATCATTTTTACGATACCTTGAAACCTTTTTTATTAATTGTCAAAATGTTCAGTCTTATTTTTGATTTAAGGGGTGCAAAGATGGCTTATAAATGTTCAAACAAATGTTGAAGA